GAACGAGTGGCGAATGATAATAATATCCTATTTAATGTGTGTTTTTCGGATGAGTGTACTTTGTTTTTGAACGATGTAGTTAATCGGCACAACTGTCGGTACTGGGCTGAGGACAACCCCAGGTTATTTAACGAGATGCACACACAAAACCCTCAGAAATTGAACGTGTGGGCTGGTATTTTTGGAAATTCTATTGTAGGTCAGTATTAAGAGCTTCAAGTAAGAACTTCAACGCACAAATCACAGAACAGCTATCTAGCAAGTACCGCACTTGATCGTTCAACCTTGTGGCAAGTGAAAAAATGCGTAAACATCTAGAAATAATAAGAAAAAAACTCAAATTGGTAGAAGGAATTTATCCTTATCATTTACTCTGATAAATGTTTAAATAAACTTTTCTAATTTCAATCCTTCATATTTTCTCAATGACTGGACCGATTTTCAAAAACGAGGCGAAAAATGATTTTGCAATCATTTTTGGGGCAAAATTTGTCCCCCTCACATACAAAATCGACGTGTTTTTTGGGATTTTTTGAAAAAAGAATACCCTAGCCGTTATGCCGTGCGGAACGTTTTCGATGGGCCACCCTGTGTACGATTACTAAGTAAATCTAAACAGTGTCACTGCAGAATATTTTTTTAATTAGTAGAATATAATATCGTGCAATTGCTAAGTCATTATAATTATTACAGAAATAAAAATATCTAATATTGATACTAAGAATTTATAACAAAATTGTTTAATAAGTGCTTAAATAGAAACTAAATAAAATAAACTGACACGTGAGATCTCTCAACTTTTTGTGAAAGAATTGATGATAATGTCGGAAATAAGGAAATTTTGGTTTATTACAACCAGCTGTAATATGTCCTCATGTTTAGTAAAAATTAATATTCATGCTTTATCCACGACAAACTTACAGGGTGGTGAAAAGGGCCGCTAATGTCATCGGGAAAAGGATGGTACGGCTGTGCTCGACTTGCCGGGGGGCGCTTCCCTGTCCCCAGATTATATTAACCAAGTTAAGGCACAAAAATCAAGTTACATCCTGCGCAGTCAAAATTTATTTTCTAAGTAAAAAAAATAAAGAATAGTTCCGAATAGAGTTCTGAATAGCACCCCAAAAGTTCTACAAGATATGCTAATTGAATTAACCGAGTGAATTTTCTTCATTATAGTGTTACCTACTACTAATTTGATTAGGTATAATGTGTTGTATTATGCTTTGATTGTTTAAACATCTGTCAGATACACGCATATTTGTTTACACTACAGTTCTATAATAGTTATTAATGATACAAGTTCGATACGAACATCATAATGAAACGCCTTCGTATCGAACGTGTATTATTCAAAATTTAATCTACGACGCGACACGAGGGACGACCCAAAGAGATTTGGATAAGAGATTTGGATATACATAAAAATTAAAATTCAAAATTATCAGGTGCCCATATTAGTCGACGCCGTGGCAACCGTGCTTGTTGATTGTTTCTATTTTGACTTTGACAACTCAATTGAGTAAATAATTATTTATGTTCAATTTTGTGTTAAATGTTCAGTTTTAGCAAAAAGCAAAAAAATAATATTAATATGGGTGATTCTGATTCTGAAAGTGTCTCTTCGGATATTGAAGGCATTGCGCAAAACGTTGTCGATTCCCTACTTCCCGAAAAATCAAGATAAACGTACGAGCAAGCCTATGTAAAACTTGAAGACTGGTGTAAAGGGAAAGGAAGAATCAATCAAGAATAGTAGTAATGAAAAGGTTCTCCTGGCATATTTTGAACATCTTTCAAAACATAGGAAGGCTATTGGGTATATTATTCCATGCTACGTTCAGTTATATCAGTGAAGAAAAATACAGATATTAGTAAGTGTTTAATTGCATTTCTAAAAAGAAAATCGGGATTCGGAAGGATTTCGCTCAAAAAAATCGAGAATTTTAAGAAAATAAGACATAACTCGTTTTTTGTTGGAAGGCGATGATAAAACTTATTTCCTGACAAAAGTTTCATTGATAGTGGGACTTGCGGGAGCCTGCCGACTTATCGAGTTGACAAATCTGCAGCTGCAAAATGTTAAAGATGAAGGACAATGAAATTCATGTCATTATTCCATTTATGAACAAAAATATCACGAGATTTTTTTTATAACGAACGGAATAAATATGGTGGAAATGGTTCGAAGATATATAGCTATGCGGCCAAGCAACACAGAGCATACTCGATTTTTTGTGGGGTACAGAAATGGAAAATGTGTTAAGCAACCCGTTGGCACTAATACTTTAGGGAAAATGCCGTATAAAGTAGCATTGTTCCTAAGTCTTCCAAATCCACAACAATACACTGGACATTGTTTCCGTAGATCTTCTGCGTCGTTGCTTGCAGATTCAGGAGTGGATTTATTAACTGTTAAAAGACATGGTGGTTGGCGCTCTATTACAGTGGCAGAGAGCTATATAGAAAATTCCAAAGAAAATAAGAAAAAAGTGTCATGTAATATTTTGGGTAACATTTCTGGCAATGATGGGTCTTCAACAAGTTCAAGCACTCAGTATATTTTATATACAACAAGTATATATTTATATACAACAAGTTCAAGCACTCAATAAATTTACTTTCTAAAAATTCAACTCACCTGTCATCGTCTGGAATTAATTTAACCAATTGTACTGATATTATAATTAATGTTTACAATAAATAAACGTGTTTAGGTACCTTTTTTTGCTTGTTTCTTATTTTAAAATTTGCGTGTTATTATGAATTCATAATAGCACTAGTGCTATTATGAAAGCCATAATGACATCCAAATGACAATTTTAAATGTGTCATAATGACATTGTCGTAGATTAATTCAATTATGCCCCCCCATTACTCGTTATAATTTTTCATATTTGTCATAAAGATTTTATTGTTTAATCTTAATTCATATTACCGCAACAAATCAAAAAATCCATAACACGAAGCTATTCCAAGAGCGTTATATTTGATTTTGTAACTGAAAAAACCCAGGAAGATAACAGACTTAGAAATACCAAATTAAAAACCTACATTTAAATGTAATTAAACGTTTTCTTTTGCACAAACAAACGCTTTGTTGGTATTATTAATAATGTCATATCTGTTCCTATAAACAAACATTCTTGCAAAAATGATTATTTTTCCAGTAAATAAAGCTATAAATAGTTACAAAAATTTTATAAGAAGTAAAGTATAAAAGGAGATTGTCAGTGATTGCATTTATTTAGTTATAAAAAAATTAGCAAACTAGTTTAGTGTATTAAACTTTGGCGTTGTGTATTTGTTTATAATATATTATTATTTTTCGGTAAGTACCTATACCTTTCATTTACCTAAAATTTTCTCCATTCCACTGTAATCTTGAACATATATCAGAATGAACAATATACTTGCCATTAATGTTTTAACGGATTGTATTTGCTGATTAAAAAAAATAAAAAGAAACGAAAATTTAACAAGAACCAGTATTCCCTCGAGTATTCCAAAAAAAAATGACATATCATCTATTTGAAATTCTCATTCCAATCATTTCTAGGATATATGAATTCATTAAAAAAATCACAAATATACAATAAAATTCAAATATCGTTTAAACCAACATTGATTTTTTTTTAATAGTTGTTGTATACAGGGTCGGCAGCATATTCTGCAGTAATTTGAGTTATACAGGGTTTAGAAGTTTCATTTTATCTAGATTTTTTCACGATTTTTTTATGTATAATTTCTGAACTAACGTCGATATTTGGATGAAAATTGGTGTCTAGTAGTTTTTTGGCATGAGAAATTTGATTTTTTTTGGTTTGGTAGAGTAATAACTTTTCGTCCGTACCTGCATAAAACTACTGAGTAAACAAATATACATTTACAACGTTCTTTAGGTAAAAAAAGGTCTATTGGTAAAAATCGCTCCAAGTAATGGTTGTAGATCTATTTGGAATCACATTTATCAGTACCTGTCATCATTATCCAAATATTCTGTATCTCCAAAATGAAGCATTTTAGGACAAAAATTTATACGAACTTTTTTACTTATTTTTATCTGCAGAATATTCTGTCGAAGTTTCCCTAATACAATTAGGACCATCGTGCATATTCTTTCCTTGAGTGGATTTGCCATAAATTCAGAACCAAAAAAAAAATATGATTAAAAAAATGGCATGAGAGATGGCTTGGAAATAAAGATGACTCTTAATTTATATATTAAATCATAGGGGGACTGTCATCGACCGTCATTTCCAAGCAAACTAGACGTGGGTAATCTATACTGAGCACTTTTTGAAATAAGACCACTTTATACTGAATTTTTGGCATATTTTAAATTTTTAGCTCTCCCAAAATGAGAAAGCAGCAATTTCTATATTTACAACTTCATTTTTTCTGATAGTTCACTTCTTTATTAATAATCTATATATTTTAGAATAACGGCGTTTTTAAAACTAGATAATACAAAAAAATCCATATTGTATAACTTGTGGAAACTGAAAACTTGATGCTGTTTTTCTCTTGGTTGTTTTTAACTTGGTTCTTAAAACACCCTGTATTTTTGATTAAAATGAAAGTAGTTTTACCATAACTATTAAATATTTAAAATCGATTTGTATAACAGTAATGATGGATTTTAATTGAAACCCGAATAAATCGTATACCTGCATAAATTGGCCATGTGAGAAGTTTATTGTAAAATTAAGCCTTTAACAAATTCTTTTTTTGCCTAAAAATATGTGAATTTTAATGACCAACGCCTACTAGTAAAAAAAGGAAAAGCAGGTCACTGTTTTATTTCCAAAACACTGTAAATTATTCAATAAATATTGGTTTTGAGTACACGATGTGCTTCTCTCTGAATCGAAATTCAAAAATAAAAGCTGTTATCTTTTATGACATCTTGTAGTACAGGGTGTTTAAATGAAAGTAGCGGAGAAAAAGACGGGTCACCCAAGTAGCATTTTTGGACACATTTTAGGTAATCTTTCTAATAATCCTGTCTCTGTTTCTTGACACAAAATGGAAACGGTATGCAAAAAATAGGAAACATTTGTAACAGTCCAAATTTAGCTTTAACTAGGTTTAAAAATATATACCAATTTTTCTTACAAGTTAGATCAAACTCTTATTTATGCTGATAAATAAATTTATTGCATTTAATTTTTATAAACAAATATTCATTACAGCTATATTTCATTATCTTTCTTACTCTCCTTTGCTTAATTTATTTTGCTTTCCATGCCATATCTCAAGTCAGTAATCAATCAGTAATCTAAAATATAATTAAAATTTATTATCTAATGCTAATATAATCAAATTCACCAAAATATTACCTTTAATTTCTGGACTTGTTTATGTTTCTGAATGTTAGCCTATTTGCCGTAATTTCTAGTAGTTCTGCGGTACTGCTTGCCCTTGTATTATCTTAGAAGATTTCCTATCAAGTGTGGATTGTCTCTAAAATATTATTTGATCATATATTTCATTATAGAGCTCAAAATGAAGTTATTTACCTGCATATTTTTTGAAATTTATCATTTGTTTATTTTCTGCAAATTGTAGGGTTAACAATTATTATTAATAATGTCATTTATATTTTAATTGCTCAGATCAGTTGAGATGCGTGAATTCGGCGCACACACGCTGTTGTCAGGTTGGGCAGTACTTCCTTTAGGTTCTGATGTTTGTATTTTCTGATAATTATTGATTGCATAATCGACATCCTTTCCGTAATATTGTGTATGCATCGTCACCGGCATAAGGTTTGGTATGTTTGTGTTTGAATGGTTATCGGAATTTACTTTTAATTCTAAGTAATGTTTATTTTGGCAATGTTTCTAAATTCCCAGAATATTAAATTGCAACTTTGCAGTATAAGTCAAATTTCTTCGGAGCGGAACTCTATCTGATCGATGTAGGTTTCCCATTTTTCCCTTCAGCTTCAAAGCAGGTGTTTTACTCAGTGTAATTTGTTGGAATTTTCCTGTTTTACCCGTTTGTTGGGGATAATCACTGACTAGAACTATAAGGGATACTTTTGCTGTTTGAGTTGTACCTTACCTTTTAAAAGTATCTCTGAGCCGTTTTATACGGGATTTTAATCTGCTCGTGGCTGGGAAAGCCTTTTGATTTATTTCTTTGTCATCGTCGATTTTCTTGGGAAGAGGAACTTAAAACCACCACCTGTTCCAGTAATTTCTGCTTTCTGAATCCAGCAATTTGAACATCCATCTATTAGAAAAAAAACTAGATTTTTTGTGAAGCCCAGCAAGGGCTTTTTTTTTTGGACCAGGCTTTTAAGACCAGGCTTTGAGACCAGAACTTTTTTTTGGACCAGGATTTTTCTTTTATACGAGGATTTTTCTACGAAGCATTTTTCTGGCTTGCTTTTTCTGACAGACTTTTTCCAGTACGTCTCTCTGGAAGTGGTATCCTTCTGAAGCACTGAGCTTGGCAACTACGTCGCTGGATCAGGTTTGAAGCAGAAACAAGTAAACGTTTACTGAAATTTTATCTTCCCCTATTATTTGTTTTCCCTTTTCTTACTTACCTTTTTTTTATCTTATATTGATTCAAGGTTCCAGAGTTCAAGGTACATACATACGGTTCAGTTTTCAATTTTTAATTAAATTTAGTATATACAATACTCTATTAATTTATCTTAGTGTTTCATTCATCCCTTAATTTTTTTATCTTTCTAATATTTTTTTTTTTAATAACAAGTCTTGTTAGATTCCAAGAGTATCTTGGGGGTTTTCTGGCTTATCTGTGCAAAGCCAGTGGCGCTTAAAACCCACCCCATCTCTTCGGCAGAGCTAGGGCCTATTTGCACGCTCACTCCACAGTTTAATAAGACGTTTTTTTTATTTATTTTTTTTCGGTTCTCTATAAATTTTTAATTTCATAATTTTCCTTGTCAATTTAATAATTTTAAAATTTAACAATTTAACATTTTTTTTAAAACAATTTCCTTCAAAGGAAACGCGTGGCACATTTTCGAAACATGTATATATTTTATATAGTTTTATTACGTGTTTCCAATGTAGTCGTACTAGCCGGTTCCTAAAATGTTTCGAGCGGAAACAAAATTTTTAGAGGAAACGTTTCGAAACATTTTTTGCAATTTGTGTCCAAGATGTTCCCGTTTTCAGCAGCCACTGTTTCTAAATGCGAAGAAACAAAATACTAAACTGTAGCGTTTTTTATAAAACATTACCACTGCGAACGGCAGCTTTTCATCGGAGAGCAGTCGTGGACAAAGTAGAATTATCCTTGTCGTGGATAAGGTATTTCACTAGAGAGAAAACTAATCAATAACAATAAACAAAAAATATAGATATTGGGCGCCAGGTATGTACAGAGAAAGAAAACACAGTTGTATATTACTTAAAACTAATGACTATATTTATTCAAGCTGGACTGTGATGGTAAATAGCATTGTACAATTTTACTAATTATTATAGTGGCTATATGTCAACCAAAGTGGTGTTAAGAGTTGTACTAAATATCTATGAAAGCAATACCATTACAAGACGTAATGTAATGAAACCCAAGATCCAAATCATATTTTAAATATTAAATCGACATGAATGTTCTTAACAATCTAACCACTAAACATAGTCTGTACGATATTACTTAAGATGTACATTATTGTTTAAGACTGAAAATGTTTTAGATGTTAAATGTTAAACTAGAACTTAAATCTACACTTAGCTGTTCTTTATGTAACCTTGCTTCAAACAGTAGCAGCGTGAGGTGGTCTCGCATCTCTGTACTCGGCCATCCAATACAACAAAAGGGGGCCAGAATGAGGACAACCATGAATTGATACAGCCGTAACTACTGACTAGACTGAGAAATGGGAACGAAGCAGCATGGGGCTTACGCTACATCCATACTATGGCAATATGGGGACACTACCCGTACCTTGGAACACTACTAGGACCTTGGATAATGCCCGAACCTTGGAATCAATACATAGATATGGGACACCTGCCCATACCTTGGACACAGTCCGTCCATAAGATAACGGTACAGGAGAACACTACCCGTACCTTGGACACAGTCCGTCCATAAGACAATGTACATCCATAAGATAATGTACGTCCATAAGACCATCGAAACACTTCCGAGGGCTCAATAATAACCAAAGAAACTGTCCTTTCTTCCATGTAACATTCTGGAGGACAAAAGAAAAGGGACGCCAACAAGTTAAGTTGGGACCACCAAAACTCTACCCTGTTGCTTTGAAATAGCAGCTGATTCAGATTATACAGCAAGATTTAAATAATCACCATTTCTAAAAACCGGGATGGTTAGGTTAGGCTACAGAGCGCTAAAAGCAAAAGTGAGTCCACAGCACAGAGAGTTGACAGAAGCGATGTTGACAGCGCCTCCACAGAGCGATAACAGGGTTGTGTCAAACGATAACAGGGTTGTGGACTAGAGAACGTAAAAATTGCGCCAAGGGCGTCAAATAAACTATCCGGCCTGAACGAGAGGGAATCCGGTGATGATAGGCCCCCCCAGACATCATATATTATATATAAAAAAGACATGTAACGAACCAAAAACGTTACAAAACTACTAAAATAATCTATATCTGTTTGTGAATTTCCAAATGAAAACAACCCGACATAATTTTTTGTCTTAAAATCTTTGATTATTTTAATATTTTCTCGAACAAAAAATGTCTGGCAAAAGCAAATTCATCACTCAGGGGATCGATTTGGTGTCGAATCAAAATAATTAACCTAAATTTTCAGCTCTTTATCTCAAACGGTTTTCGAGATTTTCAAAAAAAACATGATTTTTCAATTTTATTTTAATTTTATAGTAAAATCTAATTATAATTCTTAGAAGTCTGAGACATTAAAAAATAATATATTCATGATTCTTAACTGAAAAGTCTATTTTAAGCGGAGGAAAGAAAATTAATATCTTCATTTTTTAATCTTTGTGAAATATGTCACTCACTAAAAATCGCCAGAAAATATATTTTATACTCCTTTATACTCAGAAATTTTTTAGAATTTTTTGAAGTGGTGGAACAATATGAAAAAAATTAAAAACTATTTTTTTTCTAAAATCTTCTCGAAATCATTTTAGCCGACCATACCAATAGGTATGGTAGGCTATTATTAAGATCGGCAAAAAAAAAAAAATTTTTTAATTTTACTCAAAATGAGTTATTTAGGTCATAAATGACCTAAATACAAAATATTTTCATGGTGTCTGCCAGTCTGCCTGTCTGTGTGTCTGTCCGTCTGCCGTCTGTAACACGATGACTCAAAAACCGCTGAATCGATTTTAACCAAATTTGGCCCAAAAATTCTGTGGCACCCGAGAATCTGGCCATTAGTTTTTGGTGGGGGTGGCGGGGTTGGTAAGGGTGTATGGGAGGGGGTTAATAATTTTAAAAAATCGTAACTCCAAAATTACAGTAGCTAGCGAAACGCGGTTTTCAAATTAGGATTAGGAATAATATTTGCAGCAAAATGTGTAATAACATCAAAATCAGTCAAAGTCGCAGTTTTCGTTATTAACATATTTTAGTATGGGCGGCTATACGTGCCTCCCGGCGCCAATTTTTTTATAATAATCTTTATGTTTATTTCTGGCAAGGATGTATTTTTAATGAAAAATATTTCCTAAAGCACTTTTTTAAACTAAAAAAACAATATAAGTTAGTTAAAACTGAAGAGTTAACTGTTAGTTATATTGTTCCACCACTACAAAAAATTCTAATAGGTCTTAGGAGCAGAAGCACGGAGATAACTCCGACTGCTCCACGAAGGACTTACCCCAGAGGAAGCAAAAGCGAAAATACTCCTCCGAAAAGGGGAGAGTAAAGAAACAAAGAAACAACCTGACTCAAAGGGCAAGAGAGAGAGCGAAAACCTCTCACCTCTTCTCCGACAGGGAGAGAAAAAAGCCAGGATGGAAAGCCGTCCAACACCGGAAGGCAAGCAGGGACGTATCACCAGTTTTATCGCTATTGCTGGACAAGTGAAAATGGCGGTGCTGCCACAGGATTTCCCAGAGGTTGCTATGACCACCGACCAGCAAACGCCTCTAGAAGAGGCTATACTGGACGAAGTAGTGGCGATCGGATCGCAACACAACGATCTACAAAATGTGGATCAGCTGCGTTTTGCGGGGATACACTTTCGGGTGGGCATGATCCTCATATATTGTGTATCTCAAGAATCGGCGAATTGGTTAGCGGAAATCGCACCTAAGCTTAAAAATTGGCAAGGGCCGGAACTGGTTGCAGTGAAGGGAGAAAACATAGCTAAAGGACGGCCATCACGGTCTTTCTGAGCAAGGAAAAATATACCACCTACCTGCTGAGCCTTATCCAGGGTCAGAACTTCAATGTAAGAACATCGAGTTGGCGAGTCATCAACTCGAGGGAGGAGGGTCATGGTCAGGTCCTCATAACAGGAATTGATCTCAAATCCAGGGAGACAATAGAGAAAGAGGGACATATCCTCTATTATAGATACGGGACAACACCGGTATCAGCTCTAAGGAGAGACCAAGTTAAAGAGGTGGAGAAAATGGAGACAGATTGTTTACAAATTTATTTTAGCAAATTTTCCTCTATTATGCGTAGAATTGGTTAAAAATTATAAAGAAAATAGCAAAAACCTGATTGTTTATTGAATACCTAACAAAATATGTGCTAGAAAACCTTAAAAATATGAGAAATTAAGAAAAATTCAGTGTACGACCTTGAGGATGGTATACAGCTTATTTTGAAATAAGGTGTATACCAATTTTTGTGCAAATCGGACGAAATGTGCAAGTTCCAGTTTTTCTCAATAATTACCTTAAAAATTAACATGGAATAGATAAGTAATCACAAGAAAATATTTTTATATGGCATAAATTTAAACCTCTAGGTACAGAGTGGGTCAAATTGGATGCTTTTAAAGGGAAACACCCTTTTCTATAGGAGATAGACGAAGACTAATATCGGTGTCTGGAGCTCAATTTTTATCAAAAACATTATGATGAAAACCGCACATTGATATATGTTACCGTTTCGGAGTTACGGGGTGTTTTACAAAAATGTACAAATTTTTAACATATCGCTGTAACTTTTTTGCTATGGAAAATTTCGTATTTCTATGAAAACATTTCCGAAGCATCTGTTTACGTAGAATGTAATGGTTTAAATATATTTTTTTTTAAATTAATAATTTAAGAATTATCAACAGAAAAATTTATTTTTTATTTGGGACACCCTGTATATTTTTAATTAACTGAAAAGAATTTAAAATTATCTTATAGAAATATAGCACACTTGATATTTTGCTCGATTCCTTTTCGAGATATAGAGTTTATAAAAATTCGCCCACTTTGAATAAGTAGGCTTTAAACGGCGCCGGCTGTAATGCAAAAAAATCTAGCTGTGAGCAGCAATTAAAACGAAAATAATATTTGCAGTACCACCTCGCGGTTTCCTCAGCCGGAGGCAAGCTCCTCGACTATGAAGGGCGCCACGGAGGGCCAAACTCTAACCGTGGAAGGGTGTGTACCCTCGGAGGAAGAACGGTTGTCAGAGGAGGATGGGAAATACCCTGTCCCCTCTACAACAGGGGTATGATGGGTTATAGACTGTGTGATGAC